AGCCCACAAAATCCCTCCAATGAAAAGTCTTTTTATGTGTTTCAGTATTCTTAAGCCGCAGTAGCTCTGCAGAGTCCATCGCGGCAAATGCCCTATTGTGTGAATGGGTCGTTGAAGGATCTCCTGTTTTCACGGAAGTCCGACAAATTAATAAAAAAGAAGGAAAAAAAAGAAGTCCGACAGCACGAAGCGCACAAAATCCCTCCAATGAAAAGTTTTTTTAATGTTTTTCAGCATTCTTAAGGTGCAGTAGCTCTGAAGAGTCCATCGCGGGAATGCCCTATTATGTGAATGGGCTCGTTGAAGGATCTCCCGTTTTCACGGAAATTTCGCCGCCAAGTCAGTGAACTTTCACGTGGTCCTCTCCAAGCTCCTACATAAAAGGAGGACCATGCTACAACTTCTATCTAGGGCCTTGGTGCATGACTCAACACTCTACGTGCATTGGACGCCTTTCTGGACTAGATGCATTTGGGGGAGTCCAACATTTTGAATGCATCTGGACTATTTTGATGTGTTGGAATATGGGTGTGGCAGAGGAGGGGACGTTTGAGATCTGCTGGGGAAAGCCGGGATCGGGATGGGAGATGGGGCAACAACAGGAGGAAAATTGGGTTTTCAATGTGGGGCAGGTGAGGGTTGAACTGGACTGCAAGGGTGGGAGCGGAGGGACGTTTGAGATCTGCTGGGGAAAGCCGGGATCGGGATGGGAGATGGGGCAACAACAGGGGTAAAGTTGGGTTTTCGATGTGGGGCAGGTGAGGGTTGAGCTGGAGTGCAAGGGCAGATGGCTCTCTGGGGAACAGCCATTTCCGCGCATATACTTACGCGATCGGAAGTTCGTATTGGCTCTGAAAAAGCCGAAGAACGACGCAGGCATGCTTGGTCGTTGGGCTACGTTGTTACAGCGTTTGGAAGTTCGACATTCAGCTTCTCCTTCGACATTCAGCGTAGGAAGCACGAAAGACATGGCAACGCCGACGGACTTACGCGCCTGCAGTGGCCCGCTAAGTGAGGACTTAAGAGTGAGCTTGCTTTGGGCGGTGAAGGAGAGGGTAGGGTTGAGTGGATAGGGTAAACCCGAGATCAGGGAAAGCATGTGGCGCAGGTATTAGAGTTGGGGCAGATGGGGAAGCGAGGTCGGCGAGGGTGGCAAGTAGGGAGATGGTGGAGTTGGGAGGAGACCAAGAGGAAGCAAGGGTAGTGGCAAGAAGCACGGGTAGATAAGGGGAAGTTGAGGGGACATGGCGAAGAGAGGGGGGCAAGGGAAGGGGGTGATGCAATCAAACTCGACTTGAGACTTACTCACAACATGCATACACAGGACTGATGGCAGAACCAAACTCTTCAACTCAGAATCAACAATGAACTTGCACTTTAACTCTGTTCAAAACAACTGTACAACTTGCGGCTATGGCCGCCGAACACTGTCTCCAACACCAGCTTCACTCTCCCTCATGCACACATGTACGCGGATCACCCTGAATGTCCACGCTACACAGACATACACTCTGCACACTCTGTCTGCACCAACAGCTGGGCGGCCATGGCCACCGTCGTCTTCCTCCTAGCCATGGCCACCCGTGTCTTCCTCACTGGCCAGCTATGGCCGCTATCTTCCTCACAGCCCACTTCCTCTCCGGGCACCTGTAGACCTCCATGCACAAGAAACCAAGGCAGCTCTTCCACATGCCTCACAGGCGAATGAATGAATGGCTGGACGCTGCCTCTTTATTTATACTTCTTCGGAGGTACCCGGCCCTGCCTCAAAACGTGTGGGCCTGGGCCAAATCATGTGACCCAGGGAAGCTTCCAGACGTGTTTGGCCTTCTGGGTCAAAACGCGTGGAACCCACCGTGTGGTCCGGAACCTTCTCCACGTGCAGCCCCTACCCCTGGTACTTGCTAACTGGACTGGCCTACAGGGACCTACGACCTTCTCGAGCCTACAGACTTACAGACAGACTCTAGGCCTCAGTAGACTCAGATAGAGACTTCTAGAACAGACCTTCCTAAGCCTAACGGTAATAGACCTCACTCCTATTCTACAGACCTAGGGATCGAGTCCTCCTATCCGACCTACAGACTACCCTAGGGGGTAGGACAGGTCACGGGATCGATCGAGTCCTACACAGATCACTGGGTCTATGTACAGGGTACAGCGTAGGTCCAGGGATCGAATCTCACTCAGCACACAGGGTCAATGTACAGGGCTCGGGCACAGGGTACACGGCAGGTCTAGGGATCGAATCTCACTCAGCACACTGGGTCTATGTACAGGGTACAGGGTACAGGTCTAGGGATCGAATCTCTGTGTCTGCAAATGTCGAGACAACTGGGTGAAACCGTTTCAGGTGAGCACTGAGCAGGGCAATTATGATCATGAAAAACCCTCCCATTATGAAATTTATAATTTAGGTAGAGTCAATGATTTGGCTGGGGAAAAACAGCCATTGTATTCGAGCTGTGAAAGCGTTACATGGAAATTCCCAGTCGATGTTGAGGCGCCGGTAATCTCACCTTGCTATCTGTATTATCACTCTTTTCATGAGGGACGCCGGGCCCAGTTGGGCCCACTTCTCAGCACGTGGTGGTCCCCACGGATACTGATCAACGTACTGTAGGGCATCAGGCCCCGCCACGCACGCACACCCTCGAACCGGAACCCTCAGCCAAGGGAACGAAGTCTCGTATCCACTACAACACCACGCTTGGGAGGTGACGCTGTTATTAAAACTGGATCCATACTGGTCGTGATATCCCACACCACACACACGGCAACCGAACGCACACTCTGCTCGGACAGCACGCGACCCACCACCGCTACTTGTAACCGGGTCACTCCAACGAATAGACTGGGGCATTGTTTCCAAAAAAAAAAGAAAAAAAAAGATCACGATCGTGAACTGTTTGTTGTGAGGAGAGTTGTAGGACCGCCCTCACCCAAATGGAAAGCATAGTGGTCATTATAGCCGTATTCGGTGCAACTTTCAGTCTACAGTCTGTGTGTGTGTGTGTGTGTGTGTGTGTAGGATAAGCAAAATCGGAATAAATCTTCAGTTAGAACATGGAAATGTACACTGCCACACTTTCTTTCTTCTTCTTTTTTTTCATGTGTCATCAACTGAGCAGCCTGCCAATGTGCAAAACGGGAAGGATTCTCCCGCAAGAACGTATGAAGATGCACCGCGACGGACAGATACATTGAAAAGAAATCCCAGTGTGAGTATGAACTAAGGAGCTGTCAGATGCAAATGTCACCCCCCGCGCGCGCGCGCGCGAGAGAGAGAGAGAGAGAGAGAGAGAGAGAGAGAGAGAGAGAGAGAGAGAGAGAACACCTTGCGGCTGACCTCTAGTACTTCCATTAATAGGATGAGCGAAATCGAATGAATCTACCACTAGAACATAGAAATATACATTGCCGCACGTACGTATGTGTGTGTGTGTGCTAGAGAGAGAGAGAGAGAGAGAGAGAGAGAGAGAGAGAGAGAGAGAGAGAGAGAGAGAGAGAGAGAGAGTTTTCCATCGATAGGATAGCCAAGGCACAGACCAACAGGTAAGTCTCCAACCCCAAACACAAGGCACCCTGATAATGAATGAATGAATGCAAGCCATCTTTCCGGTCTGGTGCGCAGCCAAAATGAGAGTGTCTCGCTTAAACAGAGAGTAGAGACAGTGTACCCAGACTATCGTCTCCCCCGAAACACAAGGCACCTGAATGAATGCAAGCGATTCATCTTTCCGGTCCGGTGTGCAGCCAAAATGAGGATGTCTTTGCTTAAACCGTTTAGTCCGAGTGCTCCCACACTACCGTCTTCCCCCTGAACACAAGGCACCCTGATAAATTGTGATAATGAATGAATGCAACCCATCTTTCAGTCCGGTGCGCGGCCAAAACGAGGGTGGGTTGTGTTCAGGGGAGGACGGTAGCTGTATCGTAAATGTATATGACTGCATTTTACGGCCAGAGCTGGATGCATCTGACCGCAATTATGTCCAGGAAGAAGTGAAAAAAGTCCTAGTGTGAGTATGCCCTCAGATTCTAATCCCAAGTAACCTATTTATGGAATTGAAATTATTATTGTATAATTTGTATCCAAATTCTCTATCTTTTTTTTTTTCTTTTTTTTTAGCGGAGCTTTTGATAATAGATCACATTGGATCCCTCTGAAACATTGGGCTTTTGCGTTATTGCCCTTCGATTGTGTGCAGTCTTTTGCAAATATGAGCCCTCTTCAGGCAGCTTTGCCACAGCTTCCACAGGGAGGGCCTTATGCTTCAGGGAGCAGCATGCAGAGTTTCGCAGGGTGGGCAAGCCAAGGGGCAATCCGAGGGGCGCAATCATTCCCTCCTACAGGGGCAGGTGGGGACCACATATTTCGTTTTTTTTCCCCCTTCATATATTTGGAGAATTTTGGACCTTGTCGGACATTAGCTTTGAAAAAAGAAAAAGAAAAAAGAAAAAAAAAAGGACCATTTCTTGACTTATGCGTGTCATGATGTCATCCTTGGCCACGGGCCATGCTAATAAATTAATAATCCTCCTCTGAGTCCTCTCTCTGTGTATCGTGCCAGTCCATAAAGCTGAGTTGGGGTTTTTTGGTATTCAGGTAAAAACACGAGGGCATACTTGAAAAAAGATGTTTGGGGACAAATGATTTAAAGCTCGTCGAGTATGTTGCTTACCTCGATGTATGTGTGTGTCATCCTCGCGCAGTGGCCATGTTAATATTCTCTCCTATTGTTCCATTTTTGTCTTAATGGATGTCCCGACGGACTGGTGGGGACCACATCTACTTGCTTGGTCATCAGCAATCTTCATCTCTTTCTCTCTCTCCCTGTAGGATCTGCCCTGAATACAACTGCGGTCTATTCCCCGAATCCGCGGCTATGGCCGTCTCCTTCCTTCTCCCTCGCTGTGGTAATCAGATGTCTCCTTCCTCGCTGGGCACTTGCTCCTCTCCCGGTGCCCCCTCCCATCCTCGTCGCACTGTCGCACAAGTAACCCACAGTACTTCCACACTTTGCGCATGAATAGTTGATCCTTCCTGCTGATGCTGCTGGGTTTTTATACTCGCTGATCTGCCTTCCCGACATCTTCTGTTGGTTATGGGCCGGCCCTCTTGCCTGTTCCCTGCTTCTGGAAACTCACGGATTCTTCTTGGGCTTGGCTTGCTGGCGTGGATCAACTGACGCCTAGCCTAACGGCCCTGGCTGGTAATCCGGTCCTGACTGAAGTTGTGATGCCTCCCAAAGACAGACTTCTCAACCCATAAACCACCAGTACCTCCTAAAAGTGCTCCGCGTTAACGGCCAGCCAAAAGTCGAAATTGTGCCGTTTCCACTTGGCTGAATCTGGCCTGCCGGCCCAGGCCTGTTCATCCCAAAAGTCGTGCCCGTTAACGGGGAGCACTTTTAGGAGGTACTGGTGGTATAAATGTTATCTCCGAAGGGCTTCCTACCATGATCTACTTAACTAGCTCACCCACCGTCTTCCCCCAAACACAACGCACCGTTTCCACTTGGCTGAATCTGGCCTACCGGCCCAGGCCTGTTCATCCCAAAAGTCGTGCCCGTTAACGGGGAGCACGTTTAGGATGTACTGGTGGTATAACTGTTATCTCCGAAGGGCTTCCTACCACGATCTACTTAACTAGCTCACCCACTGTCTTCCCCCGAACACAACGCACCCTCATTTCTGATGTACCTGACCGGAAATATTGCTTATATAGATTCAGTATCGGGGTGCATTATGTTCGGGGGAAGACGGTAGGCTTCTGCGTGGTACAAATGAAAGCTACTCTTCTAGAGTATTCGTGCAGTGGCTGGAACCACTAATGGAACACGGAATGGGACTCGGGATTAGAACCTGGGACTTAAGAGTGGGACCTTGGACCTGGGACTTGGGACTGGGACCTAGGACTCGGGACTTGGGAGTGGCACCTGGGACTCGGGACTCAGGACTCGGGACTGGGACTTGGGCTTGTGGCACGTTGCGAAATCCTTTCACAAGCGTTTGAATCCTGATGGACCAAGTTGAAATTGATGAATGCAATGAAATAATACCAGGGGGTAGGTCAACCCGATGATTATATCTAGTACCTCGACTGGGACTTGGGCTTGTGGCACGTCGCCCTTTTAAACCACTAGTACCTCCCTCCGCCAGTGTTGGGAAAAGAGGGAAAAGGGGCAGTTTTCCCAAACTCCTAAAGATTCGGAGGTCGGGCCCGACCAAGACTGCCATTGATAAATCTGATCGGCGGTCGTCACTTCGTTTCCGCTTCCGAAGAAGTCAGAGGACCAACTGAGGCCCGCTATTTTCCCACGCGGCAAAGGTACTAGTGGTTTAAGAAGGGCGAAAAAAACGAAAATAAAGAAAAGAAGTCTTCTCTTTAATAGTCTTTATCGTTCCCATTTTAACAAATGTCGTGAACTTAGGACATCAGCATGATAGAATCACATTTCTTTTTGCCGACTCCGGCACTGCTGGCACGGCACCGAACTGTTGAGCAGCAAAACAACATGCCCTCTGGAAGCTGTCAACCTAATCTCAACGTCTCAGAGACGGATTGAGGACTTTGCGGAGGCCATGATGCACTTGGAGGAGTAGATGGTGGTGGTCTCTTCCTGCGGCGCGGTGGAGGTCTATAGATCAGGTGTCTGCTCTCGTCAGGGTGTGGCACCGTGTGGCGTCCAGGAGAAAAGAGAAATTCAATGGAAAATGCGCAGGGGGCTTTCTATGTGCACGATGGTGATGCACGCATTGCACGGGGAAGTTCATTCGAGAGAGCTCCGGTGCAACTCAGTTGTACTCCGACGGCGACCTCCCAGGAGAAAATCATGTACGAAGACCTGAAGACAATTCTCACATGACTCTGCAGGGGACACCACCAAGGTCGGACGGGTGGAAGTCGGAAGAGAACACTACCTTACCGTCTTCGCCGGAATAGAACGCCACAGTTACGCCAGGTCATTATAGCCGTAATTTGGTGTAACTTTCAGTCAAAATACAGTGATGATGACGGGGCGTTCTGTTCGGGTGGGGAGACGGTAGTACAAGACAAGACAAAAAAAAAAAAAAAAAAAAAAAAAAAAAAAAAAAAAAAAAAAAAAAAAAAAAAAAAAAAAAAAAAAAAAAAAAAAAAAAAAAAAAAAAAAAAAAAAAAAAAAAAAAAAAACCTGGGACTACCTTCTTCCCCCGAATACAAAGTACGGTATGTTTCAGTCTAAATACAGCTATAATGAGCGTACGTTGTATTCGGGGGAAGAAGGTACTAGGAAGTAAATATATAATGGTAATGACAGGCAGCTCCGTTGGACTTGCGCTGACTCATCAGGAGGCTGAACCCTCGACAGTCTACAGAAGGAACCCCCACGATGGGATCTGCCGCGGCATTGATTGGGAAATCTGCATTCCTTTTGAAGTTTTGAGTCATGATCTCCTTTAACCCCCGTGGAAAGGGGGCAGCCAGCGGAGCCATCACAAGCATCATGGCTCTAGACGGCAGGCAAACGCAAGGCACATTGAATCCCTGGACAGGCTGCAGAACCCCCGTGATCGATGTTTTGGATCAAGATCTCCTTCGACCCCTGTGGGTGGAAAGTGCATGGCCAGCGGTGCCATCACAAGCACCAGGTCACTGGACTGCAGGCAAACGCAAGGCACATTGAGCCCTCGACAGGCTGCTGACCCTTCGCGATGGATGTTTTGAGTCATGGTCTCCTTTAACGCCCGTGGAAAGGGGGCGGCCAGCAGTTCCATCACAAGCAGCATGGCTCTGCTGGACGTCAGGCAAACGCAAGGCATATAGGCTGGAGGGCACAGGAGAGGCGGGTGGGAAGCCAGTGAAGGCAAAGTAAGGCAGCAAGGCAATTAGGCAAGGCAATTGGGCAACAGCAGAGCAAGGTAGCAGGGCAACAAGGCTAAAAGAAGCATCAGCAAAGCAGGCAGACGACAAGGCAAGGCGGTAGTGTGACCTGGTTATGGTGGGCAAAAAGGCCGCAAGGCAACAATGCAGCGATGCAACGGGTCGGCAAATGCATCAAAGCAGCAGCGGAACAATCTGGTGAGATGCAAGGCAGCCAATCGGCAAGGTAAGCAGTAGGTTGGCGCTTAAGAGAAACGGGCGGCAAGGGAACAACGCAGCGACGCAGCAAGGGATGGTGAGACACAAGGCAGCCAAACAACAAGGTAATCAGTAGCGTGGCTCTAAGAGAAACAGAGAGCAAGGGACTGTGAGACACAAAGCAGCCAAACAACAAGGTAGCAGTGGGGCACTAAGAGGAATGGGCAGCAAGGGACTGTGAGACACAAAGCAGCCAAACAACAAGGTAGCAGTGGGGCACTAAGAGGAATGGGCAGCAAGGGAACAAGGCAGCAAAGGCGACGTTGCGGTGAGGTACAAGACAGCACCAACAAGGCAGCCGAACTGAATGGCAAGCAGGCAAGCAGCTTGGAAAGACAAGGCAAGCGGATGGGTAGCCAGACAATCCACGATTCCACATATCGAACATGGGCCTAAGCAGTGCATCACCTACTCACACCATAAGCAGAACCCTGCAGACTCTAGGTTTTTTTTTGTTGTTGTTGTTTTTCAGACTCTAGGTTCATACTACCATCAGAGCAAGAAGCTGCTTTGACGAACACCTGTGATCACTCAAGGCCCACACAAACACTTCGAAGAACACCTCTCATCACTCAAGGAACACACAAGCACAGGCATCACGAACCCAGATGCCCCGCTAGTAGTGTTGAAGGGACTCCAAACTAAAGAAGCGTTGACTATTTAGCACGCCTTAGAGGTAGGTGATCACTTGGACAGAGAGAGGAAAAAAAACACTGAAGGATCGGAGAATGCGTAAAGTGGGCACCAGAAATGGAATACTTGGAATAAGAAGAACAGAAGGAGAAAAGTGCACGAGTAGAAAAGTAGACCATTTAGACACAAAACTGATTATGTGTGTACATGTTCGCTTGTGCGTGTGTGTGTGTGATGCTCTGTGTGTGATGATGATGTTTGTGTGTGTGTGTGTGTGTGTGTGTGTGTGTGTGTGTGTCTTTTGGGTGTGTCTCTGTGTGTGTGTCTCTCTGAGTGTGTCTCTGTGTGTGTGTCTGTGTGATGTTGTGTGTGTGTGTGTGTGTGTGTGTGTGTGTGTGTGTGTGTGTGTGTGTGTGTTGGCTGTTGTGTCACAGGCATGATGATGGCACCAGGTGGCATTCCTCAATTTGCAATGGGTCCGGGCCCAGTCCAAGGTCCCGCAGGTTCACAGATGCTTATGTGAGTTCTTTCCCCCATGTATTCTTCTCTATTACAATGGTCTTTTTCTTCCTCTCCTCCTTCCCCCTTCCCCCTTCCCCCCCCCCCTCCTCTCCCCCCTTCTCTCCCTCCTTTTTTTCTTAGCAGATGCTCGCTCCATTGTGAACTTAGCTCAAACTTCAAAGTAAGTGAATACTTGTCCAATTTGCTGCCCGGCGCCTTTGATCGTTCTTCATTTTCTTTTTTTTGTGTGTTGCCCTGACCAGGTACCTAAGTTGTCTCTTGCTTTCTCTAGCTGTGATGAAGTATCAGAAATTAAATTCATTCCTGTGTTGCACGGCGTACACGTACGTGGCCCCCGCGCACACGCGTACACGTGCGCACGTGCGCGCGTACGTACCGCGTACGTGTGCGCGCGTACATCAAAAAGGGCCCCGCGCACGTGTTCGCAGGGGGCCTTTTCCGGGCCGTTTTTCTGGCTGTCGGTCTGTCTGGCTGGCTTTCTGGCTGTCTGGCTGGCTGTACAGCTGTCTGTCGGTCTGTTAGTCTCTCATTCAGTCAAGCTGTGCCTGTCGATCAATTTGTCTGTCTGTCTGTTTGTTCGTCTGTTTGTCTGTCACTCTGGGTGGTCTGTGTGTGTGTGTGTGTGTGTGTATTTCAGTCAGTCTGTCTGCAAGGGCCTGCCACGTGTACCTGTCTGTCTGTCTGTCACTCTGTCACCCTGTCCATGTGCCATGTCATTCTGTCACCCTGTCCATATGCGTGTCTGTCGGTCTGTCCATCTGTGTGTAGGCAGATGTGTGTCGGTCTGTTTGTCAGTTTTTAGGTAGCTGTCTGTCGATCTGTCCGTCTGCCTGTTTATCCTTCTGTCCGTCTATCTGTTTGTCTGTCATGTCTGACTGTCTGTCTGTCACTCACTCTGTTTAGCAGTCCGTATGTGACAGTCAAACTGTCTGACAGTGTGTGTGTGTGTGTGTGTGTGTGTGTGTGTGTGTGTGTGTGTGTGTGTGTGTGTGTGTGTATGTGTAATACTGTGTATGTGTGTGTAAAAGTGGGAAGACTCTGAAATTGTGAATACATGTGTGTTCCCCCCCCGAGGGAAGGGCCTGGCACAACAGATATATATATTTTTGAAAAAAAAAAACAAAAAAAAAAACGCGTATGCGTATGCAGGTTTCTGGTCACGTACGCATACGCAAGAATACGTACACGTACACACCGCATACGCGTACAGCGTGCAACACAGCTTTGTAGTGTCTTGTTGACTTTTCTGTGAGCAAGGCATGAGGCCCTCGGCCTAGGTTGGAAAAGGGCCTGCGCACGCTGGAAACTGTCTGCACCTGCCCTAAGTGAAGGCGGGCCCCTAAAAATTCGAGGAGGCCTTCTTTAAGGCCAGTGTGAGCTGAAATTGGCCTCATGATTTGGTTGCTGCATGCATCCAACCAACCGGTAGGCCCGATCGGTCGAAGATGCTTGGACCAGGAAAGATGATGAGGCCCACAGGACTTACAGTTGAGCCCCAGGCACATTGTGGAAGGGCCCTGGGCGTAGCTACTGGGACAGAGGCAGAGCATCCAGAGCCTCCCTCGGCCAGCCAGCCAATGCACAGAAGGAAGTAAGGGCACTCACTTCAGGACATTGTGGCTGGCTGGACGGCGGCAGCGGTGCTGGAGCGCTGGCTTGCTGGATGAAGGTCGGGCAGAGTGAGGAAGGGCACTGGCGGTGCGTAAGGAAGAAGCAGCCATAGCCGGGCTGCTGGTGCCGTAGCCTGGGAGGTTGAGCGGTGGTCCTTGGGCAGGGGACAGCGTGGGGAAGGCGAGGGATGTCGATGCATGTGGGCGCTTAGCTGGTGGTGATGAGCGGGCCGCTACAGGCGGAGTTTTCATTCGTCTTTGGGATGCTGAACTTCATGAAGACCTGTTGTCGTCATTGTAGAGTCTAGGTTGATAGGTGCTGTCTGATTGTAGTCTGGGCGTCGAGCGCCATATAGGAGAGCGACATTGTGGACATTGATGTTGGAGGCGGGAAGAGGGCTTCTTTGGTGTATTTCGTGGTGCAATCTGCTTTCAGTTCGTGCACATGGTTATCTGGATTTCTATGGAATGATGCAATTTGGTTTCTGTCATTCGCTCTGCTCATTTCCTTGCACTTTTTTTTTTTTTTTTAACAAAACAGGTCCTTATGGGCCTGGCTCCTTTTCCATTCTGGGGAGTGTCAGTCTGGTTCGTTTTCCCCCGGCAAGTCAAGATTGAATACAATATAAGAAAACACACTCACGCTTCCTTCCATATGGCTGAAGGACCCCTGACCAGCATTGATTGCTCCCTTGAGGGAGAATTGACTGTCAGCTTGCCCTAACAACTTGGTGGGGAGAATTTTTAATTTATTATTATTATTATTTTTTTATAAAGAAAACTGGCCCAGGTTGCTAGTGATAATGATAAGAGCATCCATCACTAGCAGCTCGGCTACGGGCTCCATTCTATTGGTGGGGAGCTGCACCTGCTGGAAACCGGGTCCAACTTGCTCCTCTCAGGTTCCTATTCAAACAAGAGAAAGTGGTAGGATCTGCCTCCAGCCACAAATCTGAGTCTCCTTCCTCTCCAAAGTTCACGCCTGATACCCTTGCTGCTCAGTATAAGACACCGTTGTCTGTGTCGGAGCTACTCCATTGGTCGTGAGGTATCTTGGTCCTCTCCTAGCCCCTTACGAGTTGTGCCAGTCCTTCCATCGTACATAAGAGTTCTTTATCTCTGCAACTTTTCCTTCAATCAGCCAGGTCTTGGTAAACTTTAACTTTGCTGTGCGCTGTTGCTCATCCTCGTCTGGTATGGAAAGTCTTGTCTTGTGCCACTTGCATAGAATCTCTGCCTGAATCAAATTCTTTGTCTCCGCCCACACTTTTTCCCTTGAGTTTGACGCACCCTCAATGGTCCTGCCACATCTTTCCTTCCAGATGGTCCATAGTGTCGCCTTCCTGATCATTCCAAACCAGATCTTCTCTGTCTTGTTTAACTGGGTTGGGATGTTAGTCCATAGGAGAAGTTGGAAGGGATGTTCGGGGAGGGGAGACGAGAATAGAGAGTCCCAGAGGGCCGATGCCCTGGCCCAGTACTCAGTTGCTTCTCTGCAACGTATTAGACAGTGGAGCATGTCTTCTGGTTCATTATCCGCGCAAACTGTACATACATCTGAGCTGTTGGGATCGTTCTTATGTCTCCGGATGTGCAGCCATTGATTAACCGGTAAGGCCACATAGGCAATTAGCCATTGAAGGCTCCTAATTTTTACTGGTCTGGCCGAGTAGCCTATAGCCCAGTTTTAAGGAGTAGCCTATAGCCCATTAGTTTGGACCATCTATTCTTGATTGTGGGGTCCGGGTCATTGGTTTTAAGGAGTAGCCTATAGCCCAGTTTGACCGAGTAGTCCTGTATGCGGGTATCTGACTTGACAATTTTGTTCCTTCCTGGTGTCCAGGCCCATTCCGCCGGGTCAAATTCCAGGTCCTGGATTGCTGTGTCCATCCTGAAAATTGTTTTGGGCCATGAACCGATAACTCTTACTTTCCTGAAGAGGAATAGATCGAGAACCACTCTTTCTACATCCTTGTTCAGGATGGACACGGAGTTGTGCGCTGCCCGAGTGACTGGAAAGGCTGTGAAGACAGCCAAGGTTTGCGAGCCCTGCTGCTTGTGGGAGAATTGGTAGGCCGTCGATGGGGACAGTTCTTGTATCCTGACCCCCCATTCCCCCGTTTTCCAGGTCGGTGCCTGTCTTAATATTTCTTTCCATCCCTCCGGTATGCAACTAATGACTGTTTGCAGGTTCTTGTCACGGCGGTGGCACCCCTTGAGACGGGTAGCGAGTTCCTGATCAGTGAGCCATCCATTCTCCTCTTGGTCCCATATGTGAGAGACTTTCCAGATCACGTGTTTTATCCAAGATAACCAACGTGTGCCGTTGGGTTTAAGCAAAAGCGGGTGATCACTTTCGTCTCTCACCCACGGATTGCCGAAAGAGGTTGCCTCAGTACTTCTTCTCTAGTCTTTGGTTTCCCGACTTTCTTGGGCATGATTTCCCACCAAATCCTTAGAAGTGCAGTCCAGTAGGGTGTGGGGGGGGTGGTTCCGGTGGGGGTGCCCCTTCTTTGTTGGTTTCTGCGGCCTGTTTTTGGGATCCATTCTTTGTTCATCACCCAAAATAGGCCAGACATGTTTGCTGGTGTCGTTACTGGAGCCAGTCCTCTTATACTGTCTAGCGCCAGGTTGTTCCATGCTGTTCCCGATTTGGTGAGGAGTTTGACGATCCACTTTATTTGTAGAGCTTTTGTTTCTTGTTTGGGATCTATGATACCAAGACCGCCTTCAGCGGGTTTCCTTGTAATGTAGTGCCATCACTGCCATGCTATTTTCGGTATATAATTTTCTTTGTTGGGGTCTCCTGACCATAGGTAAGCTCTAGCTTTGCGGTTAAGGTCTTTTATTGAGTGATCGGGGATTGTCCATATGGATGTTATGTACCACATCATTGAGAAGATGGAAGTGTTGATGTCTAAAGCGTGACCCAGCAGGGAGGTAA